ATAACATTTTGCGTTATTACATTTTGCGTTGGTGTTAGCACAAATGTAATAATGCACTTTTTGGTTGTTACATTTTGTGTTACTTAATTTTTGCGTTGAGGAAAACGCAAAATGTAATAAAACAAAATATAATTATTTTTTTGTATTGTGTTCAACGCGAGACATTACAAAATTGAACTAAATATATAACAATGGGGTAACTCGCTTTACTAAATAGACAGACAGACCTATGACCATGGGACAAACTTACTGCTTTTACGGACTTACTTAATCTAATTGTATATTTTTTAAACTCTGTTTCTAACATTTTTATTGAATACTTATAAAACATTAACTTAACTTTGAATGACATGTCTATTTATAAATCAGTCTGTGTTATATATCCATTACTGACATTCTTAATTACCAAAGATTGACCCATGGGTCCATTAAAAGCTCTTGATACGCTTGCACGACGTGCATGTGTACAGTAGTTAGCAAATTAGAAGTGATGTGTGTGTGTCTGGTGAGAAGAAGCGGAGGGAAGGGGTTACTTCGTATGCTGATCATTGTATTTTTATGCGCATGCAGAAACTATCCATTTTATTATTGAAGAGAGAGAGAGAGAGAGAGAGAGAGAGAGAGAGAGAGAGAGAGAGAGAGAATTTTATTTTTGCTTGTCTGCAATGCACTTGATTTGTAAAACAGTACGAAGAAAACCCCTTCCCACTATATTTACAGCTGCCAATAAAAATAAATAGATTTCTTTTCTAAATATCATGCATGTGCCTATTAAAAAGCAAAAGCAAACTGATACTCTGATCAACGACCCCCCCCCCCCCCCCCGCACACACACACCCTCACACACACTCACACACACACACACGCGAACGCACGCACGTTTCTAATTTGCAACACCTATGATTTGAATATCAAGCGATTTTAAATGGCTAATGAAATCAATATATGATGAAATCAGACCTAATGTAAGAATTAGCATATGTTTATTTTTCCTTTTGTTTTATTTTCCTTCTTTATTTTCTTCATCCACTACTCAATTGAAAATTATTCTCAACCTGACTGACCAAAAAGTGTGTTATTACATTTTGCGTTGTTGCATTTTGCTAAATCTCGACTTAGGATATTTACAAAGATGTAAATGAATAATAATATCGCCAGTAATGCTGTAACTGATTTGATGATACAGAGTGTTTCATAATATATGTTACATTTTTTAAATCTAAACATTTTTCTTACCTATCATATTTTTAACATTAACCATATATCATTTTAAACATCAAATATTGCATTTTTATTCCATGTGAAAATGTCAAGGAAATCATGGTATTATATTTTTTAATTGTGACATCAAAGCCAATGTAATTTGAATATTTTTCGAAATGGACAAAACTTAGAAACAATTTGCTGAATTGTAAAGCTGTTTTTTTTTCTTTTAATATAAATCGCAAGGGAAATATTCCAAAAGAATGTGAGCTCTCTTGAATGCTAGTCAGAAGGCTTGTAACAAAGTTAAAGGACAGAGACTTGCAATATGTGATAAATAAAACGAACCCCCCCCCCCCAAAAAAAAAAAAAAAAAACAACTGAGGACGTCAAGAACGGAAGATTTTATTGGCCAAGTGGAGACTACAGAGTTCAGCAAACTCCTCAGAAAAGTGTCAGGAAGATGTCTTCAGAAATTGATGCTGCCATTTTCAGCATTTACAGAGTACATTGAACTTTGAAATATGAAATAAAGTTATCAACGTACAAATCCTCATAAATCCAACACCCTAAGGAAAGAGCTTGATTTGCCAGGTCTCAAACTTTATGCGTTTTTCCTTAGAAATTCCTAAGAACATTGTGTAAAATCCTAAACTATAGATACTGAATGCGCTCAAAAAGAACATAACTCTTCAGATGAGGAATGCCTAAGCAAAAATGTGACAACTTTATTAACTTTATTAAAAAAAAGTCAAGATTTTCTCTTGCAGTTGAATTATGCATAAAAGCTATATTAGATATGAGTATGTGTTGCTTAAGAATATGGTACCTACTTTTAATGTAATGCTATTTTCTTACTATTAAAATTCAAGAGAGTGGAATTTGACACACACACATATAGTTAAAGAAATATCTATAAGATTTACTTGTAAATTGAAAATTGATGTGTGATTTCTTATTTCAACAGGTTTTTGATAACTCCCAAAGAGATATAATGGATTTTCTACCAATCAGCAATCAAAATGTACATGTTTTTGAGTATAAACAGTTGTCATGAGTTATGTTAGTAAAAATACGACCCAGCGATAAGTTATATTTGCTAATAAGTTCAATACAACAACCATAAGAATTTACGAAATACGAACTTTAAAAGAGTTATTGAAATCCCTCTTACATCAACGTATCTATCAGTAGCCTGCTTTGTTTAAAAATTGATCGTACTCAGAGTATTCTTTGGAGTATCGGATTAGTTGGGAGACGTGAACATCATACGCCAGTAAAAGCAGGAATATTACATTACACTTAGAACAGTTGGCGATAGAAAAACCGAAGTCGTCTCGTTTATCGTACAATTTAGTTGCTAGTTGACCCTTATTGTCTATTTTCACTAAAACATCTAAATATGAAATAGATGTGGCAGACTCTGTATTATATTTCAAGTTCAATGGGATACATTGAGTCGACATGTGAGTGGAATAACTACTGATTTGTTAATTGATAAAAATTTGTCGATATATCTGAATGTTGAGTTGAAGGCCATAGCAAATATTCTCTTCTTCTCCTATAGAAGTGTTTGAATAAATTCTGCTTCATAGGAATATGAAAATAAGTGGCTAATAAAGGAGCATAATTAGTGTCCATCGAAATTCCAAGTTTGTTCGAAAATCTAGTCTCAGAAGAATACATAAATGTTGTCAGTGTGGAACTCTAGCATCCTGTTAATATCAACTTCAGAGTACTGTGTGTAGAATCAGAGTGAATTTAAACAAAGTAATTTTGTTGATGACCAATCACAAGATATGAAAATTTGCAAGTTCCAATTTTATTGAAGAAGCAGTTGTCTAGAACATCAAAAATCCCAGTTTTTAAATCTATCCTGAGAAATGGTTATATAAAGTATAGAAAAGTCATATGTTTTGATGTTACTGACCATTGACAAATTTGTGATTTTAAAATTTCTAAAGTTCTTTTGAGAATCCACTTTTGATTAAAACCACTTTCTGAATATGCTGTAGCACAGCACTTCTGAAATTTCTACTTTACAGTAGCTAGTAATTATTTTGTAAGGATGGGGGCTTAGTAGAGCACTATCTGAACCCTGAAATTTATTTTTTTTTGTAAGGATTTTTATGAAGTTTAGGAATCGAGTTTGGGTAGGGTAGATCAAATACACCTTGGTTGAATATAATGTTTAAAGTATTAAAGACAAAGATTTTGAAGAATTTCATCCTTAGAAAGTAAATTATGAATATAATGTGAAGATTTTCTTTGGCATCAATTCCTTTGAAATGTTACAATAAAAGGTTCTGATATTATATTTTAAAAATGATATATGAAATTCAAACGTGTATAAATAAAAAACAATCTAAATTACTGTGATGGTATTTATATATTTTTTTTATTGTTTCTTTTTAAGTAAATGTAACCTATCGCAAAGTGTATATCCATTCTACCTTTACACATATATTTAATAAACAACCATTGTATTCCAATAAACTCAAAATAGAGATACCACAGAGTCTAACAAATAATTGACAAATAACAAATATAAGACTGTAAGATGATGAAAGTTACTTCACCCTTCTTTATTAATGTACTGAATGTCACTATTACCTGCATATGGTGTTTGGTCTCCCCAACCTATTCGATACGCAAAATAATGCTCTGGGTACGATCAATTTTCTTAAACCAATACAGGCTACTAACAAATAAGTTGCTGTTATAGGGATTTCAACAGCCTCGTGTAAAGTCAGCATTCTGAAAATCGTATGGTCTTTATATTGACCTTGTTTGTAAATACAACCTATCCTCGGGCGCAGCATTGTAAAGACACACTATGAAGATATCAACGGAATATAGATGTGCACAAATCGATACTTTTTTAAACCTAATTTATTTTTTCAAAAGTTATTGTCTTATCACATAAATGAAATAATAAAGTAAAATCCCTCTCTGTTCTAGAATCAAATTAATTGGTCACCTGATTTGACAATCACGTGATAGTGCATACAATGTATATTGTGTACTGCATGGAGGTCAAAAACAAGTTTCAATATCGCCAGGGCATACCTTTATTTGCATTACAATTTAATACATAAATTGTTTCTATATACATGCTTTCTTTAAAGTGCTGCTGCTTTAACTGGAATTCGCATTTTAATAGTTTAAATTTCAAGTAATGGGACTCCAGCTTAAAAATGTAATGTTCTCGATTTTACTAAAGCAGCAGCATTTTTCTTCTATCTATATTTGATAAATGGTCAAGACCTATGAAGTGTATGCCCTTGTGCTAAGGACATTTATCGAAGCACTTCGATGTATAGCATGCCATATCTATACAAAAAATACGGTTTAATACATTCAGCACTCTCTCGATAAAAACTTAAAAAATGGCATCAAACAATTATTACATATATTTTATAATCAATGATTAATAAAATGCATTTTTCAAAGTGACGAAAATAATTTGACCCGCCACTCACTGCACAATTTTTTTCCATATGTTGTCACGTCGAAAAGTGCATCAGTTACCTGTTTACACCTAATTGTGTGGTTTTTATAACTAGCGACAAAATAAATGCAGTAGTAAGTTTTGATGTAGTTTATTACTGCTGCTATACACTTTAAACTCACAAATTATTTTATTTTCTGATATTTTTCCGTGATGCCACGGTAAGCATTCCCCGTATATATTAGACCAAGTTTCCTTTATGTGGCCTCTAACAAAGCTGCGAGTCGTATTTTGACTGACATGTTTGATACCAATTGTTAGTCCGTTGTTTTTATACGACATTTGACTACAGATACTCCCTGACCAATACATAAGACTCACGGCGGGATGACTGGTCGACAGGGGATACTCCTCCTAGGCACCTGTTCCCACCTCTGAAGTCTCCAGTGATCCGTGTTTCATACCCTGTTCACAAATCTATAATGTCTTAAAAAATTTGAGATCCATCACTGATCGTGCAAGGGTATAATAAAACTGTCACATTTGATGATTTTTTTTTTATGTTACTCCTCCATGGCACCTGATCCCACTATTAATTTTTAGAGGTCCGTGTTTGCTCTGCTCCTAATTTTACTGTTTCAATGGACTTTTGAGCTACATAACTAATCTTTTGTCTTCATATTTCATTGCAACATCTTTTCTATTTGTGCCAAGATGATATGTATAAACACAACTAATTTTCAGCAGGAGAAAAGTACAAGTAAACAATTTCTCTGCAGCAGACAAAGCTGGATAAAATAAAAAGATATGATATGATAATTTTTATCATACTTTTTATCCCGTTTCAGTAAAACACCAATTCCATAAGATACTTTTGAATTTTTAAAATACATGTATATCAAAAGATAAAAAAAAAACCCAGAAAGCATTGAATGACAACCTTTTTCTCCGCTCAAGGTCCTTCCTATCCTTAAATGGTGTTGATCGAATAAAAAAAAAATCAGGGAAAAGAAAACAAAAGGAATTGAAAATTAGATCTAGAATTGAAATAATTTCCTCTGTTGTTGAAATATAAACAAATCAGCGTAACTCTAATAGTATTGAATTTTCAAAAAATAACATTTTTATTATGTCCATTTCGTTTTTACAATGAAGCATATACAGTTGAATACAAAAGTTTCTATCTAAAAAGTTTTCAAATTAAGCTATGTCATCTATGGCAGTGAGGTACAGGTTTTCTAGGCATGTATGATATAGTGTTGATGATTTTGTTAAACGATGAACAGCATTTTCTACTCAAGAATGTACAATACAAATAACATAATAAAGCTAATACCACATTGTATATGTCGTTTAATTTTGATAATTTATGACACCCAATTGAGGGGGGGGGGAGAGATTTTTTTTGTCAAGGCATTTATACATGTCAAAATTTCCGAGCTCAATTGATAAATATGATCATTCATTATTCCTTCGAAATAACCTCTATTAATTTGAACAAAGCGTATAAATAGCTTGGTTTCAGAAGTCGATTGCCTTGTACTATTAAAGCATGGAGAAAAGTTGACATTGTCTTTTAATGATATGGATGATAACAAAAATAACCGTTATATACACATGAAAAAGTATCGCAACACCAGATTATTTTATTTTTATCCAAAGCATGATGATTAATTTCGTACTAATAAGATAAATAACATTTTTCATGTTTCACTTTATTTTATTAGGATCATTTTATCTCTAAAATCGTAAAAAAAATTGCTCACTGTTATTTTATTTAAAAAATAAGAAGACCTGGTATATTTGAAGAAAATTTTATGAATAAGTATGACTCTACCTATTGATTAAAATGTCCATTATGAAAATAAGTTAAATAAGGTGAACATATTGTAAACTTTACACTAAAAAAAACATTTCAGTACTTTCTTATACTTATTATACTTTATAACTAAAGTTATATTTTATTATAAGTTCAATTCACAGGAAAAAAGAACTTAAAAGCGTCTATTTGAAAGTTCGTTTGTTTTGTGTGTTGTTTAATGTCCCTCTCGGGAATTTTTCACTCATATGGAGACGCCACCACTTGCCGGTGGAGAATTTCAGCAAATTTCATTCTTACATGATTAAACATTTTTGTTTACAGAGATAATATGAAATAATGTGGCCTTTTCTTTACGGAAGTCTTTCATACGAACTTGTACTTTCTGAAAAATAAATTAAATAAAATTAAACAATATCATATGATTCAAACTAATTAAAGGCTAGCCCTAATAAAATTTACCATATTTAACAATAGTTTACTAAAGTTAACAATTGTGGTATAATAAGTTTTTACTATAATGGTGTTTCAAATTTTTTACTACAGTAAATGAAAGCAATTTTACTATGAATATTTAAATTGATTTAACTATTTTTGCAGTATTTTTTTTTTGCTAGAGAAGACATAAAAGGCATGATTCAAACTGAATTAAGGTCATAATACAATTCAAACAAACTCCTTCTTAAAAATAAAGAAGATTCAAAATATCATATAACTATATTTCAAGATGGATAGTCCTGAAATATCTTACCTTCACCATCTGATGAGTTTGATACGTGGTTAATAGAACTCTGTTTAAGATATATCTCAAGGCAGAGATACAGTAAGGCATATTGATTCTAAAACAGAAATTACTGAATAGAAATATTCATTAAGGCAACTGGAAAAACATATATATGATATACATGTACATGAATTATAGTAAGACAAACCATGTTTGACGAAAAAATTAATTTTTATTCTTAGTGTCAAAGGAAAAAATACCCTCTCTAACAGCATGCAGACTTATTCAATATCTATACTTTTCAATATTTATGAGATGCTGGAAAATTTATCTGATCCGGATGTTGTGCATTTCGAAATCTTGTCTTTTACGTTAAATAATAAATATTTAGTTCCGTTAAAATGTAGTGTCATCCGGAATATTGTCTTATCTGACAAATTGGTGTCCGATGTAATCCGAAATGTCTTATCTGGCAAAATAATGTCCAGATTAGATAAGTTTAACTGTTTTGTTTCAACTCAAAAAATTATCTCGTGCAGAAAAGTACATTATGAAAAAAAGAACTACAAATGCTAGATATAAGATACATAAAGAAACATAATGACTGCAATAACCATAAGCATCGTGAATAGATATCATAGATTGCTTAGCGTTGAAAAGGATACTTGGGAAATGAAAATGAACCTTCGAAAGCACTGCCATTCTTTCATCAAGAAGTTGAAGAGTTGCTGCAGATATATCAACTGTATTAGATCCATTTCTGATCTTTTGAATAACATAATCCAGCATGACAAAAACTCCGCTCCATTCCTGACCAGATCTATAAAAGGGGAGTAATTTGTCTAACATGTGTTACGGGATACAACAGGGGAATATAAGAGATATATAATGGTCTCAGAAATTATAAAGAATTTTCAGGATATATTATTTTAAAAAAGTATAAAGAAAGATATATATATATATATATATATATATATATATATATATATATATATATATATATATATATATATATATATATATATCCCTATGCTCCCTATGAATTTGCTTACTTTCTGTCGTCTGTTATTGTTGCAAATGATAATGCTTTTGGGAACAGAAAGCCTATTTAGATATAAACAAAGAATTTTGAAACCTAGTAATCTTTCTGAAATACTAAATATTCTACTATGTTCATTTTATCGTGTTGTAGGATGTATTGAATAATGGATTGGAACTCAGCAAATTAAAGTAAATTGCTTACCCACTGTGCACAACAAGTGGTTGAGCTCCAAGCTGTATATTCGAACGAATAATTTTTATACAGCCAACAAAGTCTTTAGCAATTGTGCTTTCGTCCAAGGCATATACATGGAAATGGGTGATAATTCTGCTAATTTTTCTGTTTCTTTTCTGTTCAAAACATGTTCAACCACAAGTTATCTCAAGTATTTAGTCATGTGCAGTTTAAATATGAAGAAGTTGAAATTTCCATTATTATTCAATTTGAAACATGCTTTTTCGAAAGTTTGTGTCATTTCTGTTTTAAAAATCACATACCCTACGAACATTTAGTTTTCTGACTTTCAAGTTCTTGCCAAACATAAATGTTGCCATAAGCGTGATAACCACATCACCAAATTTACACGACGCTCCTTGTTTTCGTCTGTAATATCGGAAGCACTTAAATGGAAACATTATATAATTATTTGCTGTTTATAAGGCCAATACGGTGAGTTAATCAACCGAGGACGAACACTTTTTCTGAAGACGAAGGGCGAGGTGAATATTGTACAACTGGGATGAAAAACAGCAATATTCAATATTAAATGATACAAACTAAATAACCAAACCTTGCCATTTTCCTGGATTTAAATTTACATTTGTAGATGTCTTAGCTGAACGCAGGTAGATAAGTAAGATAAAATTAACATATCCAGATCTATTCATTTGGATTTCTTCACCTATTTTGGGTGTGATGTAAGAATAAATGATATGTTCATCTGAAAGTCGGTTCAAATGAAATAAATTTTCACATCTAATTATATCAATTTAGTTCTCAATCTAATTTTAGTTCAAAGAATAATGAATTTATGCTCACCTGGAAACTCGGGTGCAAATGAAATAAATTTTCAAAATTAATTGTATCAATCTTAAAGTTCTTGATCAATGTAGAAAAAATATTCGTTTACCTGAAAGGGTACGTGCACGTCAACATAACTTAGTATGATTTCGAGATTGTTGCTTCGCAACCAATTAGGGAGCTGGCAATCATTGAATCATATAATAAAAGGTAATAAAGATTCAAGATTTGTATTTAATTAGCTAAGTCAGCAGAGGACTTGGAAATTCAAATAATACAAAGTATGGTTAACTTTCAATTTGCTTTTTTCGCTTGTTTTTTTTTTAAGTCTGAAATAGTCAAATTAATTTTTAATATTCAAACTATCAATCAATCAAAAAATGGTATGTATATGTCAGGGTACCTTATTACTGTAATACAATATATTTTAACTGTTTTTTAAAAGAATTTAAACTGTTTTTTAAAAGATTCCTGTCGTAAGAAATGACCAGAATCAACACGGCAATCTCAAGTTTACATCATGTTTTTAAATCATTTCCTAGTACAGGTTCTTATATGTGAAACTTGGCTTATTACTCAGAATTGATTCTACCATTTCCATTTCATTCAGCGGAGCCAACATTATTATTGCAGGTACGTCCTGCTCCCAAATCATCTTCCAAAAGTCAGCCATAGTTCTTCTTTGTGGATATTGGGTTATAATATACTCGTTATTCTAAAAAAAAATATTTGAATTGATTTCTACTGGCAAAAGTTATTTGTTATCATTAATTAATATTACTCTCTAAAACCAAATTTTCAATATCAATTTATCAGGTTCCAAATAATGCTTACTTATTAAACGTTGGTGGGTTGTTCATTAGAAAATATTTATTTGTTCAGTGGATACAACTACGCCGGATGTGTTTATAAAACCGCACAAACCCAATTGTTCTTCAGTATTTGCATCAATTGTTGATGAGTATTTCTTTATAAATTTGTTCAGATTAACTTTGATTATAAAAATCTACTTAATTCTACTTTAAATACCTAATTAAAACAGAATTTATTTAACTTTGATGAAGTTAAGTAGTAAATTTTTTTTTTCTGAAATACATGTACGCTTAAAGTAAATGTAATTCCTGTCGGCAGTACTTACGAACACATGACTAGCATTTATATAATTCATTTCTGGTAAATCCAAGGGGCTGTCCAACTTTACCCTATTGAAATCATCTACAATATTAAAAAGAAATTCTATTATAAAAGGAAATTTTAAATGATTAAAAATGAATCCAGCTTATATTTTTAATGAAGTATGAATGGCCATCATTATTTTCATATTTGTTATACTTACAAGTAATAGTTGAAGATCTATTTTTCTCGAAGTTCTGCATCAGTTTTCCAACAGTTGCAGTATCTTTTGTGACGAGTGAGTTCAATTCCTTCAAGGTTAATGTTAACATACTAGGTACAAACCAAAAGAAAAGTAAATACGGAAAATAAATTTACATTATAAAACGTCATTAAGACTTACTGAAAATTCGTTGCTTAGTCTTGCACAGTTTTCCTTGGTTAACTCGTGTACATGGTTTAATAAACACTCAACCTGAATAGGTCTGTAAATCCAATAGATTTAGGTTAACAGGTGCTATATGTTGAAGGAGTTGTTAACTTATCGGAAATTGAGAGTATATATAGTTCTATAAAAAAGTGCCAAGTAAATTTTTTTACTAATAGGAATATATAACAGAAAATGAAAAACTCACTTAAAATTATAATTTCTCCTTAATTGTGTGTATCCGCTTGCGCTGAAAAATTAAAAATCGCTGATTTGTTAAGATTTCTATTTTTGTTCGTGATTCGTGTTATCGTATATTGTTGATACATGATATAATTATAAATTGGAAAATCATACCGGTCTCTTATCGTTGACATTGAAAGGTCGGTATAATTCTTCTTTTGGATTCTAAAAATGAAATCAAATTAGATTTTTTAGATGAAGAAAAAATTCTTAGAGCTATGTCTTAAAATTTGCCCTTCCGATTTTTAAGTCATGAAAAAGATCTTTCCAAAGTTCTGTTTGAATCTTCCATATTCCTTAATGTACTTTGCTTTGAAATGCGTCCTCTTACAGTGTATGTATGAAACTTTAAAAAATATATATGTAAATATTTGTCTTAAGTGCTTTAAAAAACTCTTATTTCATCTAATTAAATAATGCCATTTCAAAGATGTAAAAAATAAGGTATTCAAGGAACAATTACAACACATATAGATAATAAAAAGATCAAAATAATAAACATTGATGTACATGATCTTATAAAGCTGACTGATATCTCGTTGAAAATTATTGCTCCAAGATGTAATTAGTTCACTATACCTGCATTTTCTGTATACGAGAATAACAGCAATTGTCAGTATCACAAACGCAAGGGCACCTGTTGTTGATCCGGTTATAACAGCAACTTTACTGTCCGTCTTTAACGTATTGGCTTAAAGTCATTTGGAAGATACATTAAGAAAAATTGTCTTTTTGTCAGGATGTAGGTGTTTTAAAAAATAAATATGGATTAGGATTAGAATTTCTTAATTTAAAAAAAAAATTCTTATATACCAAAAATATGAAAATACCTAGAATCGTCCGAAAAGGTCCTATTGAGCCAGACTGACTGCATCCCGCCAAAGTACAAGCAAATAATTTCAACCTAAACGTATGTAAAAACTGCTTATTAAGTCATCATGTAAAAGTTCAAGACTTGCAGGTATGTGAAATATATCTACATATCCTTTGCACCTGTAGGAAAGCCCAGGTCTTAGTGGTCCATTACAATATCTAAGAGGTCCAAGGGACTGACAATTGTTATCATCGCCAACAGTAAATATATTTGCCCTTGATACACCATACTCCTGCACTAAAAATATTTTGAACAAAAAGTTTCATCCATTATCGAATTGCATTTGTACATGTAACTTCAATTAATGAAATATAAAATAAATGTCATTAATTGACGATCTTTAGTGAAGTGCACGGTTATGGTTTTCTTAGCCTCATATGTATGCTCATGGTAATTTTGTTTTAATTTACCATGTAATTTTATTGCCGTCATAAAGTAGTCATTTGTTGCCCGATACAGAGTGAATTGATGCATTCTTGCCTCAAACCAATTTGGAAGACTTTCCCACATATATCTGGCAGTGCGTGATTGTTTATCAAGACCTGCAATATATTGCATGGACATCAAAAACTCAAAAAGAAGAAAAATATTTCGATTCAAGACTATTCTTTCATTGAAATTCTAGTTCAAAATCTCCAATGAGTGAAATTTACGTGAAGTAGATAATCCACCTTTACCCAGGACTTATCTGTTAAGGTGCAAAAAGTAACTATGTGGAAATGATCAAGTTATAAATATATATGATTTATAATCCAGTCTTCGTGATAAATAAACTGTTTTTAAAGAGCGCAATCAATAACAATTGCAACCGAAAACAAATCAATATTTGTTTGATTCTGTTTGTGTAAAAAGTATATTTGGCATTCTGGATGGTATTTCTAGTTAATTTATCCTTTTTCTCTTTGCTATCTTCATTTACTCAGTACATGTCTCTAAATGCATATTTTTGTGAAGGGGTGATTTTTTTTTTTTTTTTTTTTTTTTTTTTTTTTAGAAATTAATGTCAAGTGATGTAAATAAGGAAATGCTTACCAGAACAATTGGAACAAACTGCTATTCCAAAATAAACAATAGGACCATTCATGTCATTGGTAAAAAATGTGGCATTTAAATTTATCTCAATAGTTGTTTCCATGGCAACATTCTTCATCACAAGGGCAGAGTCAGCCAAAAACGGTGGAGCTAAAATAGGACATTTACTATTAAATATGTGTGATAATCTTGACAGAAGAATTATTTGATATTCTCTGTCACAACTTAAACTTCTTTGCCACGCATGGTCATCGATTTTGGTGAAATTTTGCCCATTTTTAGCACTTGGCACCAAAAACATATTTCAAATAAAATTTGGTTGCTATGTGTCTTGGTTGCCATGGTAACAGCCGGAAAAGTTTGAAAAATTGAGAATTTCAGCCACTTTAAATCTTTATTGAGCCTTAATTAAACTAGGAAAAACAAAACCAAAAAATAAAACATTCTCATAAAACATGACACCTTGTTGTCACTTATGCTATAATGAAACCATTTAGAATATATCTTTAAGTAAGTGGTAACCATGGGTACATTTGAAATACATATTAACTGCTGAAAAATGCTGAAAAACGCTCAGTATTCACCAATGGTAGGTGTTACATGATCAAACTCAATCAACAACTTAAGAAAAACAATAAAAATATTTGACTTTAAGTAAATAGGTATTAGCAATATTATTCTGTAAATAACATTTATGGTTGTCAATACAGTGAAACTAAGCAAATTCAGTTATTAAGATTGGGTTAATGCTACTATCTTGAGGAAAATAATTAATTCAAGACTGACAAATTTGCATCCTAAGGACCTTGCAACACTCACAACATAAACACAATTTGGATTATTTGCTACTTTGCAGTGTAACCATGGAAACAAAATACCTTGGGTTTAAAGTGAATTTTTTTCTCTGCTCTAGGAATTTACTTCCTTTTTAATCAAGAAACATATTATTTGACTCACCTTGAATGGTACTTATATGGTAGAACTAAAGTTGAATATTATATATCGATAAAGTTTGATGAAGAAAACAACACAGTTACTATGGTAACCAAGAAGAGAAGATATTTGATTTTGTTTCTTGCATCCAATTAGAGATTGTGTAAAAGTCAAAATTGAAAGTCAGGTTAGTTGTTCATAAATATCAATCATAAAAGTTTTGAGAATCTACATACAATGGTATGTATCTAATGAAACAAAATATTTTCCATTTATTTAAGCATATTTTTTCTGCTAATTTCCATAGCAACACTCTATTTAAAGAATTTTATTTGAATTTTTTGAAATGTGAAATTTAGGAACATACCAACGCCTTTAAAAAGTGTCTGCTAGTTATATAGAAATGTGTTTTTTAAACAAATGGGATCGATTAAAACAAACAGAGAGTAAATTTGAAGGCCCTTTGTGGTATTAAAACCATGGCAACCATTGCCAACCGATTAGAAATACCATATTTTGTCCTTTGTATATGTTACAAGGCTCTTTCCTATATCATTTTGTTGCATTTCAACGTATAATTGATTTATATAAGTGTATGACTTTATAAAATTGAATGAATAAAATTATCACTTTTGAATACTTTGCTTCCATAGTAACGTATGTAATAGTCGATTTACTAAGCATGTTTATCATGCATTTGAGAAATCTTTAACTTTTGGAAACAGTAATTGACACTTGTTTGCATTGCTGCAAATGTTAACTAAGGGGCTCTGAACATGCTAGAAAATGCCATTTTTCAAAATTTAACACATGTTGCCATGGTAACCATGACACTTAGCAACCAAATTTTGCCTGTTTTGAGTTTACGGTATGAAAGACTTTTATCATAGAGAGTTTGGAGAAATTCTGAGACTATGCGTGCCACAGCTCCGATATAAATGTTCAAGTCATTATAGAGAACACCTCTTAATGATAATAACTGATATCTTCACTTTTCCTTAAAATTAGATTTTTAGGATCTCTTAAGTCAGATTTCATATGTATAGTGACTCAATCGAAGTATATGCACAGCATATATGTTCTTATAGATTCTTTAATAAAAGATGACATGTCTTAAAATGGATCACTCATTCAGGAATTGTTTCACGCGCAAAGCTTGAATGCTATTTATGTTTGTGTCTCAAGACGCAAAAAAAAAAAAAAAAAAAAACTTAATTGACTAATGTACATCAGTCAAATTTAATTACTCCTTTATCCGAATGACATGGTCCGAATGACCATCTGAAGTCTGGTAGGTTCGTTTGCACTCAGGTATGCAATAAATGTACATCACTGGTCACGTATTATTAAAAACTACTGATCTATTTTGTTGTTCCAGAAAACTCAATAGCTTAATCAAATAAAGCTGGCATGCAGCACCCTGATTATGACTGATGTTTTTTGAAGTATGCGTTTTAGACTTAACATTTTTTCTTTAAGTATTGTAAATGTAGGCATTGGATTTTGACACTAACTGAAGAAGAGTGACTACTATTAGTACCAATATAAAAAACGCCTATAATTTGGTAAATGTATTAACTTTAAAAACATACTTCACGTGTTCTGTAAAAAGCTTGTGCTTACTATCATGGTTTTCTAATGTAACTGCTGTGCAAGTTTGGTAATTTAAGGATTTTGCTTATTTGGACCATACTCATCCAATAAATATATCTACTCATAGCATCTCAACTCTATCCCATTACCAAATATGACTCCAAAGAGTTTGGAAAAAAACGTTCAGCATAAAACAGCATAAAACATAATGTTCTCAAACAATTCTTAAAACTGAATGGTGTAGCTTTCAAATATATGTATTTAGTATCAAACTATTCACATTAAAGGATAGGAAAAATCATATAAATGAGATACTGAACGTTGGTTCCCAGCTTTGTCTTCTGTAGTCATTTAAAGACCAGAATAAAAAGGTCATAAGCTTATACAAACCTTTTATTTACTTTTTTAAATACTTTAGGGTTACATAGTTTAGTATCATGGTATTCATATTTGTGTACATATGCTTTTTCTTTACTGTCAATAGTTTGATACTGTTATAATGCACAATATTCAACTTCTATGAACTTATTTATTGTTATCATTTACAAATGTAATGCAAGTGCACCCTAAAAGAACTTTATACGGTAAAGGTCTATCCCCCCCCCCCCAAAAAAAAAAAGATTAAATTTTGAAAAATCTCTTGAAATTTTCACAATTGTACATATTTTATGAAATAATTCTAAATTTACAAAATGCATTATTGATAGATAAAGAAAAAAAACATTGAGATTTTTATTTTTGTGGACACAGATTATTCAGATTTCAGCTATTTTCCCCCCAAAAGACAGAAAAGTGCACAAATTTCACTGATATTAGCTTTCTACACATTATATCAAAAGATGGAATCTTAGTAGACCTGCGCTCGATATATCTGCATAACAAATACACTACGAAAAACCATTGAAATGTTTAATTAATGTCATTTACTGACATTATCTCTAACTTATGACATCACAACCAATGAAAATGTTCAATGCTTTGGAGTCTGCATTTATCCTCCTGGCTAAGAACATACTTTCAGATTTCCACATCAAAGTTTGATTTGGGGGAGGCAAATATTGGCCATTACCAAATATAGTCCTTTCTATGAAGTGAATATACATAACTATTAATAATATATATTGGAATTCCGTGATTATTATTAGTCAGGTCAAATTATGTATGCTTCATTCGGCTAAGAAGAGAACAGCACTAACAAGTTTTTATCATTTCTGTTATGAATATGATTGCTTATTTTTTATGTAGTATCCGTAGATATAATTACCTTTCATGGGATTTAGGTGTATTTTGTTGCTGAAACTTTGCCCAGCAGAATTGGAAACTTGTAGCTGATAAAACACCATGTCTTGATATCCAACATTTCTAATTTCTAGTATATTTTCCATCTCATTATCACCCGTAATTACAAACCTTCTGACATATTTGATATTGTCTATGATAATGACGTAGGATATTCCGTTATATACCCTTAACCAGGTGTCTGTGGTTGTCTCTGTTGATTTTATGGTCGCTTTTAACAAGGCGGTTGTACCCACTAACACGTGTGATGGTCCAGTTAAACTAACCAACGGCACTGCAAATCACAATGGTTATCTAAATTATTTATTTTGTGTGACTTAAGAAACATCCTAAGGTATAAACTTTTTTTTTTAAAATAAATAATTTAAAAAAAATGCCAAATATGATAATCTTAGAATGTTTGCGATTTAAAATAAAAACAAAGAATATGTACTGAAAATAGTAGATTAAATTGATTTTTGGGATAGATATTGCAAAATATTCGTTTTACAAAGTAGGTTCTTTTCTATCCATTTTAAAGATACATGTAGCAGAAAAAGTATAAAAAATATTTTTATATTTGCCGCTTCAATTTTTTGTAAAGCTTTTTGCAAAGATTGTTCAGAATACATACCCATTATAACCTGAAGTTGCAAGGCATTGCTTGTTGTAGTTCCGAGTTTATTAGATGCTATCAAAACATACGAAGCCTTGTCATTCATATCTACATTGTTGATAATGAGAGTTGATCTTTCTAGTGATGTAGAACTTCCATTATATTTAGCGGATAATGCGTCAATGGTCAACGTGCCCTTACTTTCGATTTGTGTTTGCCATTTGATATCAGTTACAGATAAAACAGAAGAAATGTTTCCTAGAAATACTGCATTTCCTCCAAAAGGGGCTGAACTATTTCCCGAAATGAAAATTTTAGGTGGTTCTAAAGCAAAACATGTAATAAAAGGTCATCCATAAGACGTAAAATAGCATATCTTATGGCATTTCACGATTCTAAAGTAATTTTACTTTTCCAAATTTGCAAATACTCAAATCATAAATAAGTTTTATTTTGTATTCTCTCCATGACATCCATATCTATGCATTACAATTTAGACTAAGCTCTTCTGCTGATTATATATATGAAAATCAGCAAAAACGAAAAAGTTTTTAAAATAACGAATTTTAGACAGAAGATAATCTAAATCTTTCAAACATTATATGTTTGCTTTACTTAATGAACATTTTTACAGAGATAAATTAGAATAAAAACAAACATCAGTATAAATTTAGTAACAATCCTATTTCCTGAAAATTAAATCTAAATATTTATTAGACTTGTTGAATCCTTGCAATAGTTACGTGCATCAATACGTATTGCGATAATGGTACATAATAACCAGCCTTGACAAATACATACGTAATGTAATGATATCAGTCATTGCTTCTCCAATGACATTCCATGCTGTACAATAGTAATCACCCTGGTCACTGGAATCAACGTTATATATCGTGATGTTAGAATTTGAATTTGATCCTCCACTGTATTTACGGAAATCTCCCTTGATATTTATAGATTTCCCATTTTTTAGCCATGTGATTCCTGATAGCGGAGGAGAATCTGATGTGATTGTGGCGATACAGGGTATTGTTATAGAGGTTGAAGATTCTAGAGGCTCTGATAGGGCAATGGCTGGTCGCACTAAAATAATTTAATTTCGTTTGAAATTCATCTCATGTATACAAAATGATAGTAAATATTATGACATCTCTTTTAAGCAGAGAGCAGATTAAGGCTCAAGAAATAATAAGTACATGTAACAGGTCTGTTTTACCTCCAGTTACGTGGAGAAAAATCATTTTGCTTTTCAAAAGAATTCCTGGAAATTCCACAACAACACGATATTCGCCCTCATCAGAAAATTCTGTGATGTTCATAATGAGGAAGAGGATAGAACTTCCATTACTGATTGTGATGTCCTCTGAGTATTTTTCGTCTTCGACTGATATATTTGTTGCCAACCCATTGTGTAATTTTTGCCATGTTAAGGAAGTAATCGGTATTGGAGAAACAACTGTAGCATTCAGTACGGCAGTGTATCCATAGATAACGGTAGTGTTACCTGGTATTGTAACTGTCGGCTCTAAAAATGTAAGATAATAACTAATAAAAACTAAAAGATTAGAAAGAAAGACTTAATGGGCAAATAATTCTAAGACAGATTAAAAACGTAATGCATAGCATTTATAATATGATAGCACAACTAGGTATATTTTTTTGTTTGTTTGTTTGTTTGTTTGTTTGTTTTTGGCTTTCCTTTCTTTTTTCTGTAATATCAACATGACATCTACACTTCGAAATGCATATGTGAAGAAAGAATCTCATGATCTAGTAAAGAACACGAATCGTGAATAGGGCAGACAAACAGACAAAAGTGCAAAATCAGATGTGGGATCAGTGAATAGGACAGACAAACAGACAAAAGCGCAAAATCAGATGTGGGATCAGTGAATAGGGCAAAAAAAACAGACAAAGGCGCAAAATCAGATGTGGGATCAGTGAATAGGGCAGACAAACAGACAAAAGCGCAAAACTAGATGTGGGATCAGTGAATAGGACATACAGACAGACAAAAGCGCAAAATCAGATGTGGGATCGGGTGCCTAGTATTCTTTCTTTAAATTTATCATGTATGATTACCGATTAGTACTGTCAATCATTTCTATTCTTAATACAATATGAATGAAATATATGGGGATAACGAACAGTATTCAAGCTCAAAAGTCCATTAAACAATACAAAATAGGAGCAGAGCAAACACGGACCTCTAAACATCAGAGGTGGGATCAGGTGCCATTGATGAGTGAGCATCCCCTACCGACCGGTCACACCCGCCGTGTGCTCCTTGTCATGATCGGGAAATAACGGAAAAATCCGTCGACAATTCAGTGTGTAAATAATGGCCTAACAATTAGTATGAAAAACGTCAGTCAGCATTTGACTCAATGATAAATTGTCTTTGCTGACAAGGTCATTGTATCGACCATAGAATTTACGAAATGATGACTTCAAACGAGACAGCTGATATTCTTGTTTCATCAACTTGTTTGTCAATAATTTACCTCGTTTAAGAAATTGTTCATACGTAGAGCACGCTCTTGCGTATCGAATCAACTGAGGGATATATACCCCATATGCAGGTGATGAAGGTATATTGCTGCATAAGTAGGGGAAGTTGACGATTGAAAAGTTAAAGTCATCACGTTTATCATAATGCTTGGTTGTTAGATTAGCACTAACGTCTTTTTCAAGTAAAATATCCAAATATGAAACAGATGTGTCGGACTCTGTGGTATCTTTTATCTCAAGCTCACCAGAATACCATTTGCAATAACTAAAAAAATCGCGCATCACACACACAGAGAGAGAGAGAGAGAGAGAGAGAGAGAGAGAGAGAGAGAGAGAGAGAGAGAGAGAGAAACAACAAAAATAAAAAAGTAAGGATCAAGAGCAGGTGTTAGTCAGTACTTTATTGCTTCGTCTACGTTTACAACCTGATGTACGAATACCAATGTCTTATGAAAAATGAATATAAGCATTTTCAAAAAAATTGCCGTATTAAATTACCGAAAGTGCAATTGTTTTCTGTGAACTCGAAATGCTCATCACATTGACATAGACCATCATTACAAGCCACCCCTTCGTATCCGCTACAATCCTCCACTGTTGTACAATTATTCCAAAGTTCTGCCCCAGTTAGCAACAACAACATTGAGAGAACCTATCTCACAAAATAAGAGGTATTATTTACATCTACATGCTCTATGATATATCTCTTTTAGATTTACAAAGCATAATCATTTATCATACATCTTTAACGCTCATTCCATTTAATTTTCTTTGGAAAATCATTCAAGGTAAAACAGTTGCATAATTTTCTTCGCATGAATGCAGACTTTGTACAACAATATATATGTTTTATGGAAAAATGACATTTCACACAGTATTGCGTCTTTAGTAATGATACAACGCTGCTTTTGAGCTCATATACATTGCATTTAATTCTTGATATCACGTTTCGTTCCTATATCAAATATTCCCATGATCGCCAATGCTTGCATTGATTCATATTTCCTATGTTAATAGTCAAAAGTCCAAATTGATTTTTATCACAAATTAAAAAAAAACCAGTTTCCTAAATTTTGTATAGATGTGTAAAAATTAAAAAAAAATTATAACATTTGAAATCTACAGACAGCTATCTTCTTCGTAATTCTTTTAATCAAATAGGCAAAAAAACCCAATTTTTTTCTATAATAGAGAGGTTAAGCAGATGACCGTTTACGTCTACGTGTACGTGTAGCTAGGGAAATCCCCTAATTTACTGCGATTTACGTCATCAGTTTTGCATAGCGCGTAATTCTACAAGTTGTACACAACGTGTAGATTCATATGTACACGTAGGAAAGAACGTGTAGCTCTTAGACCCAAATTATAGAATATATATTTTTCAGGCGGTGTTTGTTGTGATATTGAGAGTTTATTACGTACATCTATGTATCTTTTTCAATCAAAGTCATAGAATTATTTCATACAAATGGATTGTAAAGTGACTTGTTTAAATGACGTTTTACACGTACTGCTACACGTACAGATTGTTAAACAGAACACGATGTTAGTTACGTGTACTTGTAAAAACACTTCTAGGTTTACACGTACACGTAGACGCACACAGTCAAATGCTTAACCTCTCTAATAAACAATGTATATTTCATAGTTAAATAAAACTAAAATGAGATAAAATACGTTATACACAAAAGGTACTGCTCAAATTACATTTATGTTCAACACATTTATACCATTATTGCTAAAGATACGTTAATACCTTGCAATTTTTTATTTTATTTATATTTTTTATTTATTTATTTATTTATTTATTTTTTTTTTTTGCATTTAGCATTATTTCTTCTACAAGGAAGAAATTTCTTTTGCGGAAAAATCTTCACTTTTGAAATTATTATATATAGAATATAGCATAATATATGAAAATTGGTATTCAATTACCTTAAAGAAAGTCAGTTATAATTATTAACTGATTTCTATTTTCCAATTTTACAAGATAATCTATAATGAAAAATAATAATGTTTATTTACGTACCAGGCATAAGTAAAGGGACGTGGCTAACATCTTCCTAAAACAAATGAGGAAGTAATAATCTCGTTATGGCACTGTGTTTCATTAAAAAATTAAAGACATTTAAAATCGTAAAAAGAGTCATCTGATCCATATGTTTGTAGACATTTAAATTTTAAAAATATCGTGAAGCATATCAAGTAGCTATATTGAGGTACCTCGAAGATAAAATGAAATTAAATGAAAACTGTGCATCTGTTTGCTGCATCAGATTTGTGAATGTATTGTGAACGATAAGATACTCAAATCAAATGTCTGAATATTGCATTTCTAATTCTGTTATATATATATTAAATTTAGCAACTTAATTAATGTGTTGAATTGAATATGTTTTGTTTAGATACTATTTAAAACCATGAAAGATAATCTTTAGTAAAGGATTCAAATTTAATATGGTTTGCTCTCATTTTAATCTTAAAATTGTTTTGAGCAAAATTACTGTTCATGTTCTGAAAAGTTCATCTCAATATTTCAATTCTAATTTGAAAACATCAAATACATACATACATACATACATATATATATATATATATATATATATATTACTGTGAAAAACGTCAGTCAGCATTGGACTTAATGACAGGTTGTATTTCCTGAAGGTCTTTTTATAAAGAAAATAAAGAAGTTAAACTCACGAATATATTTTTTACAGTTGTGGTATACTATTACTCGGATAAATATAACTGAAATGTGATTGGTGATCTGTTACAAC